CACAGGGCGCCTGGGTGGCTCAGTTGGTTAAGCGACTGCCTGCGGTTCAGGTCATGGTCCCGGAGTCCTGGGATCGAGTCCCACATCGGGTTCCTGGCTCAGCGGGGAGCCTGCTTCTCCCTCTGACCCTCTCCTCCCTCATGCTGTTTCTCTCTCTCTCTCTTTCTCAAATAAATAAATAAATAAATAAAATCTTTAAAAAAAAAAAAAACAAAAAAACTAGGGGAGGCACAGCTTTATTTCTCTGGTCCAATTCTTTCCCCGACCCTGGGCCATTAGCAGAGAATATTATGAACCTCTCTGTGTGAGATAAACATCCCTATTTACCTGGCAATCATGTATAATAAGACTCTAAAAGCATTTGCTGGTAAGGGTTCTAAATAAAGCTGGCTGACCGGAGAGGAAAGCAAACGGGGGAGGCGGCCAGAATGTGGCCTCGAAGTCCTGCCCCGTGTGCTCCCTCGCCTTCCCAATATGCCGCTCAGTCCCTTCTCTGGGCCATAAAGAATGTCCCCGTGTGGTCTGAACACTTCTCCAGGAGGGTCTCAGCTGCCCGCTGAGCCTTCTCCAGCTTCTCGATGGTGAAGCCGGACCCCGGGGGGGTGTCCCCCCACGAATTTCTCCTTCGGTGGCAGTGCAGAGAACCTCTTGGCCCCCACCATGTAGAAGGTGGTCTCAAGGCTCCCGCCCAGCACCAGATGGCCCCTGGGCCGGAGCAGGGACCTGGGGTGGCACAGGGCATCCTGGAAGGCTTCCAGGGTGAGGCAGGCAGCCGCAAGGCACAGGGCAGAAAGGAGACAGTCGGCCAGGGGTGTCACCCTTGAGCACCTGGTGCACAGATCTCCTCCTCAGCCCACTTGACTCTAAGTGGAGGGGAGAGGAAGGAGTGGCCAGCAGGGTCAGGCTCATCGTGTGAGACGCATACGTCACTCCTGGCCATTCTCTGCCTCTCACACAGACTCCCAGAATATCAAGTCACTGGCTTTACAGACCAAGAAACCGAGTCTCAGAGACAGGGGCAGTCAGGAAGCCAGCTGCTGACCCCGACCCCGAGGTCACTGCTCTTTCCACTGGTAGCCCCTCTCTGGGCAATGTACTCCTGGCGCTTGGTCTGTTCTCTGTCTGCTAGGTCCATGTTTAACACGACCCAGCCAAGTGCAAAAGGACATGGAAAGTTGGCCAGGAATCAGCTGAGCAAATCTTACAAAATGCACTTGGCAGACTTTGCGGGTGTCCACCAGGCTCTCCCCATGTCTCCTGACCATGCCATCCGGCCTCCTCACTGCTCCCCACACACATTCTCTTCTTACCTACACCTGTTCTCAGCATGTGGGGCTCATTCATACTGAGGTATGCGTAAGGACTGGCACTTACAGATTTACTCTTTCCAGTTCCGCATTTTTAAGAAGTCACAGTCTGGGGGCACCTGGGTGGCTCAGTTGGTGAAGCATCTGCCTTCAGCTCAGGTCCTGGGATCAAGCCCCGCGTCAGGCTCCCTGCTTGGCAGGAAGCCTGCTTCTCCCTCTCCCTCTGCCTGCCGTTCCCCTCGCTTGTGCTCTCTCTCTCTCTGTCAAAAAAAATAAGTAAAATCTTAAAAAAAAATCACAGGCTTAAGCAAAAGACATAAGAATCTAATATACAACTTCAACCGTCTTACCTAACTGGGGACAGTGGTATTTGGGGAGTGGAGGTGCTACGGTGGACCTTCCTGCTGCCCTGAAATTATCCAAGGTAAGTAGAGTCTGTTCACTTGCATGCAAGATTGGTCTTAATTCTATGCCCACCTCCTGCGATGGGCAGAAAGATGCCACAAGTTTGGCGCCACCTGGAGGCTGTAACTGGAACAACAGGGGCGCCTGCCCATCAGAACGTCTATCACAGGTCTATGTCAGCGCGGGGGCGCACGCCCTGGCCTTCTGGGTGGGCGTTCATGACAATTCCCTCTGGCTCTGGGTCTGTCTACAGCCATCTATTTCTCTTCCCTCTTTTGCTCTTTGTCGGATTCATCTCTCACTCTTCCTCCTTTCTTCTTGGAATCCCCGTCCCCACTTCCTTCCTTCTTAGTCTCCCCCTGCTTTGCCATTTCTACACGAGCCCCGTGAAAAATTCTTGATTCTGGGAGTTAAGTGAAGCTCGTATCATGGCGATCCCAAGCAAACAACAAACCCCTGACCTGTCCTCCTCAAACTCATCCACAGATCTCACCACTGGGGACCAGTCCAATGCCCCTGGGATCTTCTCTAGCCACTTTTCCAGCTCGAGGCGGTTCTTGTCTGTGTTAAGTAACATTCCAAAGCTCAATCAGCAAACATTCGTTGAGCACCACCTGTATTCCCAGAAACTTTCTTAGCAGGACTAAAAGGGGAATATAGGCCTGCCCACAGAGCCCTTGGTCTCCCCTTCCCATTTTGCCTTCTCTCCAGCCAGGGAGAGACTGGGTTAACACAAAATATCAGTAGCATTTGGACCCTGGCAAGGGGCTTCCAAGATAAACAACAGGGTGGCAAGGAGAGAAAACTAGCTGGACCGAGGGGTCCCGGCCCGCTATTGAATGAAGACTGCTCACCTGCTCCTGGATTCTGCTGCTACATTTTGTTTGTTTCCCCTTCATTTGTGTTACCTGTAGGTTACAGTGGCAGATAAATGGAGGCAAGCATCAAAGGTTTCAGAAAATTTGATAGCAGGAGGTTGTTCATCAGGGAAATTCTAGCTATGCTATGGGGTTATGTTTCCTTCTCATGTGAATCATGAAAAGAGACCCATTATTTGATGTTAATGATCCAGCCTGCCAAACACCATTCTTCCCCTAGGGGCAAATCTGAGAGGCACCCACCCATGATGTTTTCACAGGCCACAGTGGTAATCACGCAGAGAACGAAAGCTTCCTGCACTGAATTTGGGAAAAGGCTTCCTACACTGATGCCCCTTGCAGCTTCTTTTTGACAGGGATAGGGAGAAGACAGGGCTACTCAGTGCCATCAAAGACCACAGCTCTTAGATTTTATGGGAGGAGAAAATCTTGACCCAGAGACCTCAGAAATGTTTAGGGCATCCCACCTAGTACCATACATCAAGTATATCTAAAATCAGCCTGTAGGGAGGTTCCACATTATCTCCAAGTCCAGAGTTCCTGCCAATTGCCTGGCTACCTTCCCCCATCCCACAGTAAACTTGCACTAGGGTTGAAGAAGACCAGCACCTAATTTAAAATTTCCATGCCCACCCTTCCTCCCACAAACCTCTTCCAGGGTTCAAGGAGACCAGCACCTGATTTAAAAGTGGTGTTGTAGCATTTTAGCAGGAAATGGAGGAACTCATCACCCACAGAGCTCTGGCCCATCTTGAAGTAGCCCAGGTAGGCTGTGGGTTCAAAACACATCTTGTAGACATCCAGCCCCATGGATTCCTGGAGAGCCATGGAGAATCGTGAGCTTTGTCCAGGAAGGAGCAGACAGTCTGATGCCCTGGGCCCTTCTTGATGCAGCTCAGGCTCAGTCACTTTGCCTGCCCTCAAATACTTGGATAAAGACCAAAACAGCCAATGAAAAATGTTCCCTGAACCCTCTTCCCTTTGGCCATTCACCTCTGCCACACTCAGCAACTCCCATCCTCCTCTCCAGCTGCCTCCTCCAGCAGTGGACCCCACTCTCTAGTGCGACCCCAATCTCCAGGCTTTTCAGTGGCTTTGGCTTGTATGGAAGGGTTTCTAGGCTCTTCTACTCCACTGCATTGCATCCTCTCCTGTACAGTGGTTTTTCAAACTATTTTAAAAGGATGCCCAGTTCTTAAAGTAACTCACCTGTGAAGCCCAGTATATATGGTTGTTAACAGAATGGATATGCCTTAGTTTGTTTTTGATCTTTAGCATTTTCTGAACTACACCCCCTCACACAATACCTGGTTTCTGCCCCAGACAACTTATTGGATGTGGACAAGATTTAGAAAAATAGGAAAGACAAGAAGAACAGATTTTGGTTGAGGGGTGAAGATGAGACAATGAGCAGAGATGGCTTTAGTTTGGGGCATGCTCAGCTTGAGGCTGAAAAGCCTAATCTAACTCAGATGTAAGTCTAGAATGCACAGAGAGATCTGAGCTGGAGCTACAGATGTGGAATGAACATGCAAAAAATACTTGTTCTATAACTGAACTGAATTTATTCTTCAAGTCCCATTCAAATGGGTGGTAGACATTAAATCTCAATCACTTAGAGTCTTCCTTCACCAGGAGTGGGGGTGGGGTGGGAGTGGGGAATTTATGTGGTGCCAGGGGGTGGGGGGAAGCTGGCCTTGGTCCACGCTGCTGGCACCTACGAAGATTCCATTGCATAATGTGGTCCCAGATCACTGATTAACAAGAGTTACAACATCCCCTTTATGCAACCTCCATGCCTGTCTCTCTCCCTCTGCCCTATTATTCCCCACTCAGGAGCGAGGGAAATCACTCTCCCACTCCTCAGGACGCTCTGGGCCGTGAAGCAACCATGGTTAACAGTTCTTCTGCTTTGGCGCCATATTGAGAGTAGGGACAAGTCTGGGGTCCTGACACTTCCTAGCCCATACTCAGGGAAAGGGCATAGGTTCCCTATGTTCACCTTTTCTTTAATAAAGAAGAAATTAAAATGTAATTAATAACACAAATTTAGTTAATTGATATATTGAGCTCTGTAGTCTGAAAACAGAAAGTATACCTTTTGCTAAAACTGTCCACGGAATATTCAAGAATTTACTGTATATAAAACAACAGAGAAATTATAAAATTTCCCCAAAGTAGAAATAATATAAAATAAAATTCTCTGATTAAAATGCAATTAAATAGATATTCATTACAAAACCACACACACAAAAAAGATACTCTACCACAAAGAAATTTTTAAATTTTCTCTTAAACACTCTTGGATCAATGAGGAAAGGAAAACAAAAATTTTAAAATATATAGAAAACTGTCCCACAGAGGAGAATCTATAAGATACACAGCAGTGGAAAACTCATGATCTTAAATACTGATATTAATGAACAGTAAAAAATAATAAATTAGGGATCCAGATCAAGAAGTTAAAATGATAACAAATACATTTAAAGAAAGCATAAGGATAAAATTAATCAAAGGAAAGCCAACATTAATTAATGAATAGGGGATGAGTACAGACGCCAGATTGGAGTTGAGGGAATGAGCTGGAGAGGAGAGGGTGATGAGGATGCAGGGAAGAAAAACAAGACTTCCAAACACTTGGCTCAAAGGGGGAGAAAGGCATCAAGCCGTAGCCACACGTGGATATGCCTTAGACAAGAGAGAGAAACACTAAATATTTTCACAGTAGAGCAAAAGGCAAGGATACGTGCCAACGCAAGTCAAATTTAGAGAAATGAGTGGGAATCTGAGAGTTCACAGCTAGAAATTGTGTTTTTCCTGAAAATGAGGAGGGAGGTACAGGTGTTTGAGATTTAAGGCAGAACCAACAGCCAATGGAAGGCAAAGATGAGGGAAAGACAGAACTATTAGCTATTTTCAAAGGTCCAGATAACTTGGTAGGAGTTCAGTCTTGGTAGAAGTTCAGTGTGATTTTCTCCAGAGTGCTTAAAAGTCTGGGTGGAAAAGAAGTGAACACACTAGGTCGATGTGATGTTGGGATTTTCACGGGCAGGTGGACTATCAGGTAAATGGGCAATGAAGTAGAAGAGACAGCCATCTATTCCTTCATTCAAAGTACATTCGTTGAAACCTGTTACGTTAAGATCGTTGGTTAATACTGAAGAGCATGGACTCTACGGTTAAACTGCCTAGATTCAAAGTCTACCTCTATCATTTATAAGATGTATCCTTGGACCAGTTATAGTTAATCTTTTTTTTTTTAATCTGGAACTCATGAGGTTAACAATCTATCTACCTCATAGAGGTGTCAAGAGAAATAAATGAGTTCAAATAATTTATTCAAAATAAATAACTCAAAGAATTTAGAACAGAAATTTCACTTCTGACCATGGCAGAGTAACAAATACTAGTATTGCCTTTCACCGTAAAAACTACCGAACTGGACCAAATGTGTGACCCTGCTGTCTTCCGTCATTGGACAAGAGAGAGCGCACAACTGCAATCACATCAAGTGAGCCCAGCCTCCTCCAGCTCTCCGCCTGGGGACACTTTCTGGACTACAGCACAAAAAGGTGGAACCCAAGAAGGGTCCAGCCGTCCTGCTGAGCTGAGAAGAAAAAGATCAGGGTTCGGAGCTGTAGACCAGATGGAACTTGGAGGGACGGTGCCAGGGAGGAGGGGGTCACATGGGGACCCCCACAAAGTCTCTGTGGGTGTGCATTCATTTACTAGGGCTATCATACAAAGTGCCAAAAACGGGGGGGGGGCCTCAAACAACAGAAACGTATTGTCTCCCAGTTCTGGAGGCTCAAAGTCTGAGATCAAGTTGTCAGAATGTGGGTGGGTGAGGAGCTGTTCCACACTTCTTCCCTGGTGTCTGGTGATTGCGTTAGTCTTTGACATTCCTTGGCTTCTAGATGTATCACCTTGATCTTTCCCTTCATCTTCACATGGCTTTCTCTGTGTCCAGTTTCCCCTTTTTAGAAGGACACTGGTTATACTGGATTACGACCCACGACAATGACCTCATTTTAATTTAATGACCTCTTTAAAAACCCTATTTCCAAATAAAGGTCATGGTCAGAAATATTGGGGGATTGAACCTCAATGTATCTTTTGGGGGGAACACAATTTAAGCCATACTAGGGGCTCGCTGTCAGTTTCTGTCGAGAACTGGGCTGAGTAGGTACAGGTTGAGACTTCGTAAGAGATTGGCTGCTAAGGAGTTAAGCAAAGAATGGGAAAACTAGCGGTCACATAGTGGTTCCCGCCAGAGTGGAGAGATCCTCTTGTTACAGCATTCAGCTGCTGTACCAGAAAATTTATGCTTTGGGAATATGTTCTAGAATAAAGGCTACTTTAGATTCACCCTAACAAAACCTTAAACGAAGGCTTGACAGGGGCAAGGAAATCTTCCAATAAATTAATTGCCTGCCAAAACAAAACACAACACTCTTTAAAGGCAAACAACATAATCCAGGCTCTTTCCAATAGATCACCCACAATATCTAACTTACAATAAAAACTTCCAAGGTATTCCAATAACTAGGAAAAATGTTACCTGTAAAAAAAAAAAAAAGTATCCATGGAAACAGACTCTGAGATGATCTACATGATGAAATTAACAGACCAGGACTTTAAGGTAGTTATAATGAATGTGTTCAAGGAATTAAAGAAAAAAATATAGTCTTAATGAACAACAAATGCAGAATCTCGACGGAGAAACGGAACTTTTGTAAAGAAATTCTAGACTGAAAATACAATGTCTGAAGTGAGGAATTCACTGGTGGCTTTAAAAGCAGATTGGAGATGGCAGAAGTCAGAGCCCACAAACTTGAAGACAGAGCCATAAAAATGATTCAGTCTGAAGAAGAAAGAGAACAAAGATCGAAATTAAATGAATAGAGCCTCAGAAACTTGTGGGAAAATATAAAGCTGTATAGCGTATAGCTAATTAGAATCCCTGAAGAAAAGGAGGGAGAAAATGCAGTAGAAAAAGATATATGAAGAAAAATTAGTTACAACTTGCCCAAATTTGGTAAAACATACCAACCTACAGATCCAAAAAGCTTGGGAAGCTCCCAAGTAAAGAAAGTCACAACTAGGCACATCATATAGTTCAACTTCTGAAAATTGTGAAATCATCCAGAGAAAAATGACATATTCTGTCAAGGGAAACAATGCCACAAATAATGGCTGAGTTCTCATCAGAAACAGTGGAGGTCAGAGAGAAGGAATGACATTCTTAAATCTCTAGACAAACAAACAAAATAACTGTCAACCCAGAATTCCATATCCAGCAAAGATACTCTTCAAAAAATGAGGGTGAAGTAAAGACATTTTCAGATCAGTGGAAGCTGAGAGAATTTGTACCAACAAACCCGCACTGAGAAATACTAAAGGAAGCTTTTCAGGCTAAAGGAAAATGATACCTGATGGAAACTCAGATCTATGGGAAGGAACCAAGAGCCCTAGAAATGGCAAGTTCTAGGCTCCTTACCTCAGTTTGTCTTCTGCTTCCTCTGGGCCCTAATTGCCTTTTCTCTCTCTGCAGCCTTAAATACATTCATTAGGAATTTTTATGCCCTGAGCTCCAGAGATCCACGAGGGCCACAGGAAGAATAGGGGCTGGGGCCCAACCCCACCTGGACTGCTGACAGATGTGTCTGTTTTCTCGCTCAGCAACTAATATGGGAAAGTTCCCCTGGTCACATTGTAGAGAAAAAATTCAGGCCAGGTGAACCAGACAAACCTCTCTCCAAGCAGGATTTGAGGTTATGATAAAGAATTATCCAGGATTAAGGAGTTTTTCATGATATCTGGAAGCTCTTCATACTGGACTTCCTGGGGCAGCCTCAGGCAAAGGACAATTGGCTGAGAATATCCCAGAGCAGTCATCCACAGATGGGAGTCCAAGAAAAACCTCCAGGCTGCAAGAAGTGAATATTAGAACTTCTATTTTTATGTACTTGTTAAATCTTTAAAACTGCTATATTTTAGTATGTTTTATACCTAATATGGTAGTACAGTAGTATGTGTATATAAAGCATAAACAAATATTGGGGTACGTGAACAAACTGTAATGAAAAGCATATGCACAAGCAAAAAAGGTGGGGATGACTGGCTCCAAAGGAGTCGTAATTCTGCTAGCAGAAATCCTTTACACACTTTATCTTATGACTCATACCATTGGTGTATTCTGCGAGGTTTTTGATACAAGTCTGTGAATCCGCTTTTTCATAGTCATCTGGAAAGTGGTTGAAACGACAGATTCCAGGGAACATGCCCACGAGTTCTGATTCGGAAGGTCTGGGGTAGGGAACGAGCTGCTTTGACTGTAGTTTTCACAGAAGCAGAACAGGAATGCCTGGCTGGCTCAGTCGATAGAACATTTGACTCTTGATGTCAGGGTCGTGAGTTCAAGCCCCACCTTGGGTGTGGAGCCTATGGGGGAGGGAGGAAGGAAGGAAGGAAAAGAAAAGAAAGAAAGAAAAGAAAGTAAGAAAGAAAGAAACAGAACAAACCCCATGGGTTTTGGTGCACAGGTGGTCCGGAAACCACAGGAAGCATCGTGTATGGGGACTCTCTCCTAACAAGCTTCAGAGGAAGCAAGATAAAGAGGGAATTTTGTGAAGAAGTGGGAGGGTTGTACAAATGTTCTGCCCAGCTGGGAGAAGCTGAGCAAACTACTAAAGTAAGAGATACAATTAGCTCATCTGAGGGTTTCTGTCAGCTGTCACACCAGAGACCCTGTAAGAGGGAGCAAGGACACTGGTGGTCTTGTAACTCCTGATGCGTCAGAGAGTGTGGTGGTATCACCACCGCATTGGACAGACAGAAGGCAGGGTCAACCAGAAGACTCCTCCACAACATCTCCTCAGACCGTTTTGTCTTTTGCACTCCCACTACCCAGCTCCATTTTGGGCCCTCATCATCTTACAACTCAATAGTTAATAATACAGTTAGTTGACCCTTGACAACGTGGGGGTTGGGGGTACTGCCCCTGCGCAGTTGAAAATCTGCACAGAACTTTTGACTCCCCTAAAACTTAACTCCTGATAGCCTACTGTTGACCGGAATCCTCACCGATAACATGAACTGTCAATTAACACATATTTTATATGTTATGTGCATAATATACTGTGTTCTCACAATAAAGTCAGCTAGAGAAAAGAAAATCATTAGGAGGAGAAAATACATTTACAGTGCTGGACTGTAGTTATGGGAAAAAAAATCACTGTAAGTGGACCTGCGCAGTTCAAACCCATGTTGTTGGAGGGTCAGCTGTAATCAGCCCTTTTCTCAACAAGTCAACAGCATGGTTGGGAGGAGATCTGAGGGATGCAGCTCACGGTCCTAGTTTGGCTCCTGATCCAAAGAGAGCAAATCTACAAAGTTAGTTTTGAGGCAATCAGGAAAATCTGAACATGGACTAAGTGATGATACTGAGCAACTATTGCTAATCTTTGAAGGTGTGTGAATGCCACTGAAGAAATACCAGTATGTAGCGGGCATTGGGAGGGAGTGACATTATGCCTCGGATTTTCTTTAAAAGACTTCAGCGGAAACAAAGAAAAGAAAAATGAAAGAAAAAGAAGGAAGGAAAGCAAGAAGGGTAGATGAAGCGAGCATGGTAAAATCTTGAGAATGTTGAATCCAGGTGACAGGTTTTAGGAGGGGTCCATCATATTATCCTACTTTTGTGTATCTTGGAAACTGTTCAGTAAAAAAATATTTCAACAAGGAACTAAAATTGTGTGTTTGGAGAGGAAACCAGACATGGACCATGACAAGTAAACAGATAAAGAAGAGAATGTCAGATGGTGCTAAATGCAATGAAAAAACAACTTTTACTCAACTTTTATTTTATTTTAAAAGATTTATTTATTTTACAGAGAGAGGGCACGCACAAATGCACATGGCAGCAGGGAAAGGAGCTGAGGGAGAGAGAGAATCTCAAGCAGACTCCTCACTGGGTGTGGAGCCCAGTGCAGGTTTGATCTCATGACCCTGCGATCATCACCTGAGCAGAAATCATGAGTTGGACGCTTAACCAACTGAGCCACACAGATGCCCCGAATAAACCACCTTTAGATGGAATGGTCAGGGTAGATCCCACTAGGAGGCAATATTTGAGTTGAAACCTGAGTTACTCAAGAAGGAGGAATCCAGGAGTGCCTGGGTGGCTCAGTCGTTAAGCATCTGCCTTCGGCTCAGGTCATGATCCCAGGGTCCTGGGATCGAGCCCCGCATCAGGCTCCCTGCTCAGCAGGAAGCCTGCTTCTCCCTCTCCCACTCCCCCTGCTTGTGTTTCCTCTCTCGCTGTGTCTCTCTCTGTCAAATAAATAAATAAAATCTTAAAAAAAAAAAAAAAAAAAAAAAGAAGGAGGCATCCAGGCAAAGATTGAGGGAACAGAGGGCTCTCGGCAGAAGGAACAGCACCTGCAAAGTCCTGTGTCTGGGAGCAGATGGGAGGCAGTGAGGTAGACGGATCAGAGAGGTAGACGTGGCCAGATTATTTAGGAGCAAGGAGAGCTTGGCTAGAAAAGACGAGGCCCCCTGCAGGGGAGGAATGATACATTTAGGGAAATTCTTGCCTGCAATCACCCGGAAGGTAGACCAAGTGGATCCTGAGCCTGAAGCTCTAAGAAACCGTGAGGAAAGAAGCAGAATGTTGGCATATGATGGTTGATGTCCAGGTTTGTAGCAAGATATTATTATCGAGGGATGAATTCAGGGGAAAAAATGACAAGTTTCCAAGAAGAAATGAAAGAAAATTGGGGGTGAGGGTAAGATCAAGAAGTGTGTGTTTTCTTGGATATAGGTGAGCGGACTGCTTCTGTGCCCTAAATTACAGGAAATAACACTGGACAAGTCTTTGGGCAATGAAGGCTCATTATTTAAAGTCCTCTTACAAAGGGATTTGGTTCTGTGGCAAACATCAAATTAAGAGTGTTGCCTTTCCCACCCAAGCTGACTCTCTCAGGCGGCCCCAAGGTAGCCAGCGGGAAGCTGACAAGGAAGCTCGGATTTGAGGGAGAGGAAAATCAATAAGAAGAATAGTAACAATAAAAGCATGTTTGACAACTATGTCTAAGAAAGAACTTTAGGCGTGGTTACTAGCATGAAGAATGGATTGGAAGCATAGGTCAGAAGGCTATTTTTAAAGAAACTGAATTGGCAAAAATCCATGAACCCAGCCTAACGAGCCTTGGACTGTGGGAGCTTAAAACCATACTCAGTCCCCCAAATTTGTACAAGTGGGAATTGGGCTAGTGGTGAAATTGTGCGGTCCTAAGGGAGGCCCAGGTCCGAGACCCACTTCAGATGTGGCCAGGGCAGACAAGAGTCAAGAAATGATTCCCCAAAGGCTTCAGAGAACAGTGGACTAGGGCGTTTTTCCAAGATAGGAGATCCAAGGTCTAATTAAAGAACGTTCTCCATTGCCAGGGCAGGGGATCTTCACAGATACTGGTGTACCAGGACTCCACCACTTCTCTGGACCAGGGACTTGCGTGCACTCTGTTCTTCCTACTGCCCAATGGGGCTTTTGTTATAAAGGGGGTCGAGGTGGATTGGACAGTGTTTCCCCAAAATTCTCGCCCACGCTGACCTCAGAATATGACCTTACTTGGAAATGGGGTCTTTGCAGGTGTGATGAAGGTGAGGATTGAGATGAGATCATACTGGGTAAGGGTGGGCCCTAAATCCACTGAGCATGTCCTTAAAAGAGACAGGCAACAACACACTGAGCTCCCCGGGAAAGAAGGCCATGTGGAGACAGAGGCAGAGGGGCCGTCACAATCCAGGGAACACAGGAGCCACCAGGAGCTGGAAGAGACAAGAAAAAATTCTCCCTCAGAGTCTCCAGAGAGAATGAGGCCCTACCAACACCTCGGTTTCGGGTTTCTGGCTTCCCCAACTGTGAGAGGATAAATTTCTGTTGGTTTAAGCCACCAAGTTCTGGTGATTTCTCATGACAGCCTTGGGGATCTAATGCAGGGGTGTCCTGCCCCTTAAAAGCCTCCATCCAACAGCAGTGCCAAGGACCCCCGTTCACACGTGGTTGGGGGACCTCAGTCACCTGGCCACCCCAAACTGCAAGGAAAATAGGGTCTTCATATATATCGAGGAAGGAGAGAAAACTGATGAGCGCAGAAAACAGCTCACAAACCGTTCTGACATTTCTTTCTTTAATTTTTTTTTTTTTAAGATTTTATTTATTGAGGGCACATTCTGTATGGAGCACTGGGTGTTATGCACAAACAATGAATCATGGAACACTTCATCTAAAACTAATGATGTAATGTATGGGGATTAACATAAGAATAAAAAATAATAAAAAATAAATAAAGATTTTATTTATTTATTTGAGACAGAATGAGAGAGAGAGAGCACAAGACGGGGGAGCGGGAGAGGGAGAAGCAGACTCCCTGCCGAGCAGGGAGCCTGATGTGGGACTCGATCCCGGGACTCCAGGATCATGACCTGAGCCGAAGGCAGTCGCTCAACCAACTGAGCCACCCAGGCGCCCCCGTTCTGACATTTCATAGGATGGACTACTGTCATTGATTTTGGCCATAAACCTATATACAGATAGCCAGCTTTTGGTTCACAGAGCTGATGGCAAGGAGTGCACAGCACCCAGAGATCCCGAATTTCAGAGTAGATGCAAACGACGGGATGGGATTTTCGGTCATTCCTCTTTGGGGGTGAGTATGTTCTCTGAGTGGGAAGAAGAGTCTACACAGATATATGGTGACTAGAAGGGCAGACTGTGGCAGAACGCGCTAGCTCTTCGCCAAAAACCAATCTCTCCATCCTCTGAATAGAGCTGGACTACATCTTCCTGTCTCCCTTGCAGCTGGGTGTGGCCATGTGATTGAAAGGGGCAGAAGTAGACAGACAAGGTAAGAGGCTCACGGAAGCCTTGGGAGATAGCCGAATAGAATATCCAGAGTTCTAGCAGAGGAAGAGGAAGGAGCAAGCCAAAGAGACTGACAAGCACCAGCCGGTGGGGTAGGGGAGAAACCAGGAGAGTAAGTGTTTCCAAAAGGAGTCAGTGATGTAGAACACTACTGAGAGATCAAGTAGGAGGAAGACCGCCAAGGAGCCATTGTATTTTGGAAGATGGAGCCACTGAGGAGCTTGACAAGACAATTTCAATGGAGTAACAGAGACAAAACTCAGATCAAAAACTGTAAGCAAAACGAAGAAGAGAGTGTCTAATCACAGCTCTCTCTAGATTTTTGCCGTTTGAAGGAGGTGGGTTTGGATGGCAACCAAAGGGGACGGTGGAATCAGGGGAAGGCTGGTTAAACTGGGAGATGTGTGTAAGCTGATGGGAATGATCTGGTTGAGAGGGGGAAATGGATGCAGCAGAGAAAAGGGGAAAGAAGGAACAGGCTTGGAAGGATGGAGAGGAGGACAGTCAGAGCCCAAGGGGAAGAGTTGACCTTTGATAGGAGGACTTGTCACTCAGTCACTTTGGGTCCGTCTTAGTTGGGCTTCTGGGGGGTTGGGTAGCGGGGATTAAAGATGGCCCCTGTCTCCCGAAGGCAAGCAAGCAGAGAGCTGGGCTAATGTTATGTTGTTCTTGGTGCTTATTTTCTTTTGTTGTCCTTGAGACTTCCGAGAAATCTAATTTAAATATACCAGCCTGATCTCAGCTGTGCTGTGGGGAATTAAGGGAAAGGTCAAGTACAACTGCTTGGGATAGGGTGTTAAGGAGGAATGCTAATTGGCAAGAGATTTCTGAGAAAAGGTGAATATTAATCATGTCAAACTGGTGAGGTCCAGCCCCCACCCGCCATACACACACACACTCCCTACCCACTCCTGCCATTCTGTGACTCCCTCTTTCCCAGATAGGGATTTATTAGGGAAAATCCTTACCTTCATCAGACTATCCATCATACATGCATTTCCCCTTTGCCACCACCCAGTGTCACTAGAAGCTCACTTAAGCTAAAGACCACACCAGCTAGGCAGAGAGAGAAACTCAAGAGTGAAATGCTGCTTTTCAAAGAGGTGCTAACAGGTGATATGAGGCCCGATGTATCCTTTGCGCTGAGGATCTTTAGACGCGGTGAGAGTCACAGAGTCGGAAGTCCAGTGTTGGGAGGGGTCTTCCAAACCATTTAGTTGCATTCATTTGAGATGGCTGGAGGTGCCAATAGGCAGCCTTCTGCTGTCACCTCTCAGGCCCTCAGTGAGCCAGATCTGGGCACTCAGCAAACCGTGCAACCCTTCCTGGGCCTACCTGCTTCTCCCAGTAGCAAAGCTTTTGAGGAGCTGGATTCCAACCGAGGCTGACCTTCCCTCAGTTAAGATGAGGGCCCATGGATGCCTGGGGTTTGGACTGGCTGACAACATCTTCCAATCCAGCCTCTTGGAATGGAAGGAGTTTCATTGGGTATGACCAATTGGTCAGTGGGGGCAAAAGTAGGAGAAAAAGGGTCAGGATCGAAATACTGACTCAGGAGACCTTCTGGAAAGTCCATTTGAACTTCCTCCCAAGTAGTTACTGTTCTTTCTCTGATGTGAGTCTGGACCACATCCTCCCTCTATCCAGCCCAACCCGGTATAGCAGGGGACCCAAAGGAGCCAAAGCCGCTTACAGCGGGACACCCCTTCCCAGTCCCTTTGCTGACCCGCCCAAGCAAGACGCGCTTTCAGCCAGTGCCCACTGGGTGGCGACAGAGTCCCAGCAATGCCCACAGAGGAGGCGGACACTCCAGCAGCAGTACCCGCCCCCCCACCTCCTGAGTCCTGGCTATGGGGTGCTCCTTCCCTGGAAATCAATGTCTGGGCCATCAGCTCCTCTCCCGTACCAGCCCTGAACATGTCCCCCCATTTATAATTTTCATTTTTATAGCACCAGGGTTTTTAGAAATCTGATTCATACGCCTTCTTCCAGCTGATGACTGTCCTGAGGGTAGAAGGAGCAGACCTTACTGTACCCCATTTTACAGTTGACAAAATGGACCTTGGAGCAGTTCTGAATTGCAGCCAAGGTCAAACAGTGAATGGCGATCTGGCCTCAGACCCAGGTCCTCTTGACTCTGAACCCCATGTTCTTTCTGCCAGAGCCCCACTGCACCTCTTCCTTAGAGGGGGTCCAGCACAGCACCCCCTGCTATTTCAAATCAAAGTCAAGCCTGGGTGCTTGATTCCATGGGTCCATATGCTGCACCCTGATGGTGCCCATCTGGTCTTCAGAATGCTGCCATGCCCCAAGGCCAGGGCCCCGATCTGCCTCATGGAACCTGAGGGCACTGAGAGAAGCAGGCAGCGCGATCCAGCTTGGCGATGGGCACTGCTGGCCCCGGAATGGGAGGACAGGTAGACGCTCCCCCGTGGAAGCCCGCAGCTGGCCGGTACTCCCCAGACTTGCCCAGTGGGAGTCGTGGAAGGTGCTGGGGGTGTGGCTCAGGTCTGTCCTGGGAAAGGCTCTAGGGCCCATGTTCCTGCAAATTCTGGGCAAGCGTGTGAATGAGGCAGAAAAACCTGGGAGAGAGAGGTGTGGATTCCACAGGCTTCTTTCCTCATGGCAAGGAGTGGAAGCTGTGAGGACCCACAAGCAAAGGGAACGTGTCAGACCGGGGTGCCTGGGGCCAAGAGGGGGAGGACATCGGGAAAGGCAGCTTGCTGGAGGGGTAAGGGCAAGGCTGATGGAGTGAGAAGTCTTGGCTTCCAGCCCTACCTTCGCCACCGACTGCTGTAGAGCCACAGCCTCAGTTTACCCATCTACTAAATGCAGCCAGTGCTCAGCACCTCATGGGAGGTGTGAAAGCCCAAGGGAAGCTCCCGAGTGTCCTATAAACAGATCCCTCTTGGGGGGCGGGGGTGAGCTGGGCTGTGTTGTGCGCTCCCATCTCTATGGAAGAGTCAGAACCAGAGACGGAGCCCCCTCCCTTGGGCCTGGGACTATTTACGGACAAAGGCCATTGTTCTCCCCGTTGTCTGACCCCGGGACTCCATGAGCGTGGCAGATTTGGGGGCTCCGTGCCAGACTGCATCTCTGCACCCCATCTCCTGGGGGGGACACAGAGGAACGGGGTGCAGCCAGCCGGTGTACAGTGGGGAGGGGCAGAAAGCAGCGGCTTTGCTATTAATGTAGTCAGTAAATAAATAAAGGAGGGCTTAAGCTTAGTGTACAGCAATCAGTTTAGAACTACAGGGTAATTAGCGCTGCAGGGGGCGGCAGGCCTGCAGAGTCAGGTTTAAATAAGTGAGTTCACTTTCACTGAGGCACCCCCTGGAGAGCAGAAAACACAGCCCAGAGAGGAGCCCGCCCTCCTGCCAGCCCCCAGGGGGCAGGGGCTAGGAGTGTGGATAGTGGGGTTGGACCCAGCACCGCAGAAGGAGCTGGGGGATGGTCGGTCCCCCGTCTTGGCCGGGGAGCAGGTGTCTCCGTGCATGCACACACACACCCCAGCGATGCTCAGGGAGGTCTCTGCCTGCAAGGTGCCACTGTCCTGGGCTGGCTGCGCCTCTCTTTGCACATGGGAATCACAGTTCAGTGTCTCCATGAACGGATACGGGCACCTGCGAGAGGAAGCCGGAGCCCCTGTGCCGGGGGGCACACACGTGCTGTGCACCTACTTCTCCGATTTCCCCGGGTCCTGGCAACTGCAACCTCAGCCCCAGATGCTAACCGCCTCTCCCCTTCCTTCTCCCTGTCTCTCATCTGTTTATTCCACAAAGATGTATTGGGTGCTTCGCGGGTGCCAGCCAGTGGTAGGCTCTGCAAATACGAAGATACACAACACAATTCCTGCCTGCAAGGAACTTAACGTGGGGCTGACGGTGAGACTGAAGCAAGCCGGTGATCACAGGGCCCAAACCGTCCCGTGGAGGCTGTGCACAGGGCGGCACCCAATCCGGCATCAGTGGCTGGGGACGGTTTCCTGCAAGAGGTGAGGTTCCCGCGAGCCCTGGAGATGAGACGGTGAGACAGCCAGACTGAAGGGCAGCGCATGCGTGTATGGGTACAGTTCCTGGAAGAGGACACAGCGTGTGCAAAGGCCCAGTGGGGGGCGGAGCTCAGTGTCTTCTAGGAACCACCCGTGGCCCGGTTGTCTGGAGCCCAGAGCAGGGGGCAGACCGTGGGAGTGATCCCGAGACAGGGCTGGGGTGGTGAGGACAGGGGATCGATCCCTGAAGGCGCTGTGAGCCTTGTGAAGGAGCTTGAATTCCATCCTAGAGTCCCCACCGGGCACTTTCATCAAAGGGGAGACATGATGCTATCTGCATTTTTGGAAAATTTGTCTGGCTGCCGCAAGGCAAAGAGGAAGATGGAACAGAGGGAGGACGGAACACCTGGGGTCAGGCCTCCTCAGCCCCCTCCCCCTCCGGGTGGGAGGAGAGAGGGGCTCCCCAGGCAGCCAGGTGGGGAGGCCTGGCGATGCTAAGCTGGACACAGACGGCCTGGCCTCAGACCTTGCTCGCCATCTGCCTCTTCTCACCCGCCACAACTTGCTTGAGTCTCTAGCAAGTCTCCGCTGGCTCTGGGCCTCTGCTCTCCCACCGTTGGCAGGAGGGCAGCCCTCCAGTGCAGCTGGGGAGACAGCTGTTAAGGCGGGGACGTGACCCAAGTGCCCACCTGAACCCGAGCAGCCTCGGCCGGGAAGGGGCACCGTGTGTGTTCGGGGCTCCCAGCTCACCTCCTCAGAAACACTGGGATGGGACTGAGCCCCTCCCTTGGCGGCCTGGCCCCTCTTCTGACCCCAGCAGAGCGCCCCCCCGTGGCAGCCCCGTCCTGCAGGCTGGGGCAGAGGGCAGCGGGGCGGGCAGGGGCGGGAGGGTGGGGACGGAGTCCGGCCCCAGAACGTTCTCAGGCTGGCCCAGCCAGGGCCCCTTTCTCTCCATGAGATCATATCTGGGTCAAAGAGCATGTAAAGCAGGCAGACCCCAGCGGCCACACAAAGCCCATTCAGCCCAGCCCCTATTCACTCACCTCCTCTCCCCCAGAGCCCACACCACAGCGACCCCAGCGCAGCGCCCTAAGCCCCAGCTTTGATGTCCAAGAACAGAAAACGGCGATTAAATGTTGTTTTAAAGAGGGAGTGCTCACTGCCCTCCCATCTGTCAAGAGAAAGCGGAGGCCCGAGGGGGAGGGGCGGGGGGGGAGGGGCCGGAGGCCTGGGGAACCTCAGAGAAGGGACCCGGAGAAGAAAGGGATGCCCGCGGAGGAACAGGGGCAGAGACTCAAAAGCAAACCAAATATATTTTTGGCAAAGGATGGTTTTCCAAGAGGAGCAATATGGGGAGAGGAAAAAGAACGTGGGACAGAGACACAAAGGCCAGGAGGAACCTCCAAAAAGATAATGAGAGAAGACAAGATTAGAGGAATAGAGAGAGATGAGCAGAGGGGAAAAATGAAAGAAAGGGGCAGAGTGCTCCTGGGCCCTTCCTCCACCTGGGGAGGTCACCCGGTCGTCCTGAGGCTTGGTGCTGGTCTCACACCCCGCAGAGGCTGCAGCAGCAATCGAAGCTGGGTCCCTAAGTCTAGGTGAGGGGATGGCTTGTTTCAGCTGGAGCTGGCTGGACAGGTAGGACAGCCTCGGGCAGAGGCGCTGGGCCAGTGCATCTAGAATTAGGTGGAGTTGGTTTTTCAGCTCTAGACAAGCAGGGCAACGCTGCCATCCCCAGGGGGAGGAAGGAAGGCCCAGAGAAGCAGCCTTGGCCCAGGGACCGGGAGAGGAGCGGGGAGGCATGTTTTATTCTGCTAGCCGTGAGGTTGGGTTTGCATCCTCACCTCCCACCTGTTCCCTCCTGTTCCCATTGCCTTTCTCCACGGGACCTGGCGGCCACAGGCCCAGGGACCTTAAATTGGGTGGCAGCTTCTTGTTGAGAAATTTCAGGAAGAAGTTGACGATGTCTCCGTAAGGGAGAGGGCCCTGCCTCTGGAGTCCCGGGAAAAGCAAACCCGATTTGCTATCCGTGATCCCAAGTAAGTTCTAGCGCAAGTGAGCCAGGGAGCAGGATTCTGTGGCTCCCTGAGGGCAGGGGTCTGTCTGTCCTGTCCCTGCTGTATTCCCAGGGCTCGCAGCAGGAACTGGTACGAGCCGCCGCACGAACGTCTATGTTGAAGAAATAAACGGACCAGTGCTGACTTCATACATTGTTCCAAGGACCAAATCATAGTGTACTGAATGCTATTTTTTAAACTAAGAAAATATGAGACAAGATGTCGTGGAGCACGTATGTGCCTCGTAAATATGACAGAAAGGGCCACATAACTACCCCAGAGCTTTCTTTTCCCCCATCCCCAGCCAGAAATCTCAGTTCATCTAGTGTTAACCACCCAAGAAAAGGCAGAAAAGACAAAGCAGTTTTTTTTTTTTTAAAAAAAGGGGACACTTCAAGCCAGAGACAACTGAATTAACTTTATTCTCTTCTAACTGCAGATTCAAGGTATACAACTGAACATTGCTATTTTTCTTATGAGACTTATAAATAAAAATACAAAAAATGTTCACTACAAAAAAATCTACTGTTAGTAGGATGTAAAAAATATTCTCTTTGCTATAGAAGGCACAAACTTCACTTAGTGACACATGGAGAGAGAAAAAAACCTGCAGCAGTAAATTCATTTTTTCTTTTTTTTTCTTTTTTCCTTTTTAAATCTTGTCAGAAACACTGAAGTTACAAAGAAACGCATCAATCTACACGGAACGAAGGCAGATGCGGAAAAGCTGCGACCAGGACCGCACAACGTCAGGGGGAACAGCATCAGGGGACGAGAACAGGTAGGGTTGGCAAGCGAGACTGGGGGGGGCAGGGCGGGGGGGGGGCTGGGGGGAGGGGTGGGGACGCTCAGGGGCGGGGCATGGGGGGCATGGGGGCGGGGAGAGAGAGATTTGTACAAAAAAGTAACCGGTAAAATTGAAGAAACAAAATTGGGCAGCCTCCTAAAATTAGGCTAAGAGGAGGTGCTGAGGTAGACATGAACTAGAACATCAATTAATTAAAAACACTATTCCGTAATACAGAGCGATCGGATTAACACTTGCGCTGTCACCACGTAAGACAAGCCACAAAAACAAACAAATGACAAAACAAAACATAATACCCAAACCAAAAGGCTTAGTTTTGCTTGGTCCAACAGGGCAGCAGGGCCCTCAGTGCTATAATTTACATACATATATATATATATTTATCTTTATATATATGGGTCGGATGTCATGGTGCACCACCACGGCTTCTTAACCTTACAAAGATCATGCATAACACACTAACGTGAACGAATTCTAGGACACACACCAGGAGGCTGGTACCCTGTCTGCAAAGTGGGACGCCGAGGACCCAGGGAAGCAGGGCGGCCAGCTCGCAGGCCTGGGGGGCCCCGCACCCCTCGCTCCCCGCCCTTCTCCCCTGACCCAACCTCCCTGGTCTGTCTTGCACCCCTCTCCCGGCCCGGCTCTGCCTTTTCCTCCACGCATCAGCATCCCTGAGCTGGGTCAATCTGGCTTTCTCGCCTCCTGCTGAAATATCCAGGTAAGTGCCGCCACGAAGCTCCCGGGAAGGAGGAAACCAGATGGGGTAGAAAAAGACAGAATACAGGCCTCAGAAAAATGAACAGAGTCGGATCTTCTTCTGCTTTTCTAACATCTGGTGCCCCCATCTTTCACTCTCGTTCAGCTCTTTGCAGGGAACCATCCACACATCCCCTCCTGCCCCCCCCGCCCCTCAGCCCTCATGGACAAAGTACGGAGGCCGCCCCACCACTGCTCACTCCCCTGCCAAGGAGGTAAGCCAAGTGGCCCTCTCTCTCCAGGGCCTTAACACCCCTGCAGCCGGTGGGACCAACAGCATCCAGAAGGGTACTATACACTTGTGAAAAATTGCAGCAGTTTTGTTTCGTTTTCTACACACGGAGAAACTGTTCAGGCACAAAGATTAAACCAGCCCGCATTGCATCCCTGGATTGTACTGAATCACTGGGGCCCCCAGCCTCCCTCCCCACCCCTGTACCCCAGACCTACCTTCCCGCTATCCGTGGCCTCCTCCAAAGCAGCCCAAAGCAGCAATGATATTTACTATTTTATATCTCTCTCTTGCTATATATATATATCTCTATATTTGTCTATCCTATATACAAATAGGATTTTAATGCTTTGAATGAATGAAGGAGTGAATAGGGAAAGAGCACATGACGGGTAAATGTCACCAAAAGCATTAAGGGACACGCCTGTAGGAGCTGAACGCTAGAAAGGGACCGTTAACCAGCTTGGACTTTCAGGGCTGGAGAAGCTTCGCTATGCTGGATAAGGCGTAGCAAGTTCGGGAGTCAGCCGTTCACAGCTCAAGACAGCGGCTGGCCAAGGGGCCAGATGGCAGAAGGAAGAGGGGAGTAGGAACACTCAGCTCTCACCTGGGGAGACAGTGCCCTCCACCGTCCCTCGTCTCCCCAGCCCCCCTTATCCAGACCCATCTAAAGATTCCATATACTTTTTGATCTTCACCTTGGCCAGTAGGCCTGGCTAAGGCGGCCTTGGCAAGGTCCGAATGATGAGGCATGCTGAACTCTCTGCAGGGCGTCGAGGCTCCATGGGGGAGGAAGGGGGAGAGCAAAACCAGCGCAAGGCGTCTCCCACCCGGTATCCCTCAGACGCCACCCTGACCCTCTCTGTCCTCACTTCCCGGCTAGGGTCCCTCGGGGACGGTGGGAGGCAGACAGGTGCTCATTTAGTACCGTCCAATGCGGCAACACCAGATTACAACAATACTGCATGATGTAACACACAACCACACACAAAAAACACACGCACGCGCGCAACACACGGACAAAGGGATATTTTGGTGGTGGTGGTGGACTTTTTTTTTTGTCTTTTTTTTTTTCCTATTCACATTACAAAAGGAAAGGGCAAGGTCCTGTAGAACTGACGAAGGAACTAACAAACATTACAAAAATATTACAATTTGTAAATATTAGCTCAACCCTCTCAGCTTTTATGAATAGGGCAGGAGACCCAGGCTGCGTGGGAACGGTGGGGGCGGGGAGTGAGAGGTGTCAGCTAGATCTATGGAATAGTTTGATTTTTTTTTTTTCCTTCCCCACCAATGTTGAATGTTATCTTGCTGTTAAAATATTGGTTTTCTGGGATTTACAGATCCCCTGAGGGCCAGCAGTCCCCTTTCTTCCCAGACTGGGGGAGGAAGCATAGTGCATAACGGTTTCTTACAGACAGCCCCCCTCCCCCAGAAAATGTCCTCCTTTTCACATTATCAACATGACAACAGCTCTAGTCACATATTTCAAGTGTAACTTTTTTTTCCTTTCCAAAGCACTGTCATTATTACAATTGCAAAATAACATCCTCCCTACCTAATCCCCCATCAACAGTCTAGTGACAGTCCCCCCAAATTCATATCCCCCCCAACACACAATTTTTAAGGCCTTCCGATTTGGTGGGCGAGACTGCAGGGGCGGGCAGGAGGGCTGGGACCGAGGGACGGGGTGTGGGGGGGTAGTCACAGCAGCACCCATCCCTCCGACTTCCCCAGAGCCCTCACAACCCTTCTCCCCAAAACCGCTTCCCGAAACCACTTTTAAAAACCTAAGATAAAAACGGCAGCCACAACTTTCTCAGAGAGAGAAAGGAAAGAAAACACACACACACAACTCTGACAAATAAAGCGGGAGATGAAACAGAGGGCCCATCCCAAAGTGAACGCAAATATTGCAAATGTGCTTTCCAAAATTCAGGGTGGGGAGTTTGGGGAGAAGGGGGGGAGCAGAGCAGCAGAATGGGAGGCATGAAGGGAACAAAAGAAGAACTGGAAGAACATAAGAGGTAGCTTTTAGAAAAACAACACCCCCACCCTCACGCAACAAAACAAAGCCTGGCTCGTCCCCACTCCAGCCCTGAAGAGAGACCAATTTTGGCAACCATGATCACACACGCAGAGCTGGGGCCACACAGTTGCCAGGATCTGAATAATATGGGCCCCTCGACCCTAATCACCCAGCTAATTGTAAGAAAGGTGGGATCTTCTCCAGGATGTTTTAGGCTGACCCCTTCCTGGGCGCAGAGGACTTCGGTCCCCGGGCAGAGCCAACAGTGACTCCAGCGAGCCCCCGACACACCCTCCCCTCCGCCCACCTTCTGCTGACCCCTGGCTCTCACGTTCAGATCCTGAGTACTCGCCTCCTTCCGTACAGCTCCCTCCAGCTGGGATGGGGAGGGCCCAGGCCAGCTGAAGTCTATTAAACCAACTCTTAATTTACACAAGAAACAGAAAAGAACGTCCTTCCTCCTATTCCTCCAACCCCCAACCAAAAAAGAGATACAGGGGTTAAAAAAGCTCATGAGGTCACAAAAAACTGAGGTAATTCAAGTACAATGTGCTAACAGGGGAACAGGGGACACAGAAAAGAAGCAAAACATAACACAAGGGCCAAAGCGCTTTCAACTCCTCCTCCTCTCCTTCCTCCTCCCTATGGACTGGGGGGTGGGGGGTGCCCTGAGAGCCAGGAATTCTGTGCCGCTCTCTGCACCAGGGCTGGGGTCCCCAGCACAACTCAGCAACACCCCCCACCCCCGCCCCCGCAAGGACATCCACCATCCTTCCCTCCGACAATGAGTCCTTACGTGGATTCCTTCTACTAGGGACTGAAATAGGGGTTGTAGGGATTGGCGTTGGTTTGGTGGGACAGTATATAGTGAGTTATGTTTTCCCATTTTGGAAGCAAAAGCAGCTCAGCAGGAACCTCGCTCATGACAGGGCTGGACGAGGGTGGGGTACTCCATTTATTTTGTGTTCTCAGAAAGCTGAGGGCAGGGTAGGGGCTCTGGAGTCACACGCAGCTTCCCCGCTAGGGAGGCTGGGCGAGAAGGAAGATGCTCACCACCCCCACCTGCACTGGGAGGACAGGAGTCACGGGGAGGCAGGGAGCTGGGGGAAGGGCAAGAGCCATGAAGCTGCTGCTGAAGACCTTGAGGGGGTCACCACGAGGGATGTGGCAGAATGGTGGGGGGCGGTGCAGGGGAAAGCAACAGATAAACTGAGTGGTAGGAAGGGAAGGAGAGCGCCTCCCACCCCAATCTGCCCCAGCAAACCAGAGCTGCCATGTGACCATCGACTCGTGACCGGCCCAGCCCCACCACCTGCAGGCCCCCTCCCTGCCCCAGCCCCCTTCCTCTGAGGAGTCAGCAAGAAGGGGGCAGGCAGACTGGGTGGCTCTGACCAGAGGCCCCTCGCCCCCTTCCCAGCCTCCACTTTTGGATGCAAAAGGGGGGGTCTGGCTGGAGGGAAAAGAAAAATACACCACCATCTGAGCTGAGCAAACCACCTGCACCCCCACCCAAGAAAATGAGGCCAACCTCCAGCCAGAGAGGAGGGACAGAGGGCCCCCCCAGCCCGGGGAGGGGCCGTGGCCGGGCGTCAGGTCACCTGGAGCCCCAGAGAGACTCCGAGGCCAGACAGCTATCAGGTTTCCTTTGTCTTATCTCTTTTTTTTCTTTCCTTTTTTTCCCATTTCTCTTTCCTCGCCCAGTCCGTCGGCGGCGACTTCGGCCCGCTGGAGCGCCTCTGTCCCGGCTGCCCGCTCCCCTGCCGCGGCCGCGGCCCCGCTCACACGTAGCACAGGTAGAGGTAAGTCTTCTCTATCCTCCAGTCGGGCGGGATCTCCTCGGGCTTGTGGCCCTTCATGTGCTTCTGCATGGAGGAGAGGCTGGGGCAGTACTCGGTGCAGATGGTACACTGGTAGGGTGAGGCGCCATTGTGCGTGCGCAGGTGCTTGATCATGGCCGAGTAGTCCCGGGAGCGCTGGTGACACAGCTTGCACTCGAAGGGCTTCTCACCTGTGGGGGGTGCGGGGCAGAGCCAAGACAGAGGGAGAGGGCCGTGAGCGGCTCCCCGGGGACGCTGCGGGGGCCCCTCACGCCACCCTCACGCTCGGTGGGGAGGGCATCAGCCCCTCTAGTTCAGCACTCCCCTCTAGAACTCTCCGGGATGATGGATGCACCATCCAGTATGGTAGCCACCAGTCCACAGAGCTGCTGGGCGTCTGCCACGTGGAGCTGTGTGTTCCGTGGCGCTTCCCTCCCTGTTGCTCATGTCACCAGCCACGTGCAGCGAGAGGCTGCGGTGTTGCTCAGACACCCTTAGCCCTGCCTTCCTCTTCTCAGCCCTCCCAAAGGCCCAGAATCTTCCTTCTGAAGAAAGGGTCTGGGGGTCTAGAAAAGGGGCAGTGAAGTCCTGAAAGCCCCTGGGGGTGGCCCTTCAGCACAGTTCCTTCCAGGGGAACAAGGGCTAAGAGTCCTTTCGGGGCCACAGCTGCTGGGGAGTAGGGAGGTGAAAGTGAGGGAACCCTGTCGTTCACACATGCTCCATCTGGGATGCCTACTCCTCCAAGGCTCCAGAGAAGCTGCCCCTGGACCCTGCTTTCCCAGTAGGGCTAGAATGGGGCGAGGGACAGACAGCCTGGGAGTGCCCAGCCACAGCCTAGCTGCTCCCCAACCTCCTCCCGGTTAGAGTCCCCTGGAGCTGAGCAGAGGGTGTGAGGGAACCTTGTTTCGATACAGTAATTAACTGGCCAGCCATCTCGCTATCGATACTCCTCTGTGCGGAGGCCCCAGCAAATAATGAAGTAATGAACAGCCAAAGTGATCTAACTATCGACCCGCTATTTACAATAGTCACCACCAATGCATTTAATGATCTGCTCGGCAGGTCACATCCCCGGCAGGGGGCTAAGGAAGCCCCAGGGCTCTGGGAAATGCTCCAAGTGACTCTAGCAGTCAGCACCAAGCACCCGAGGCTCTCCTTGTGACCCAAGCGGAGGCGAGAAAGCAGGGCCATGACAGCACAGCATCGTCTCCTTATTGCGCCCTCTGTTCTCCCCCGCCCCCGCCCTGCGCATGGAAGCCTTCTCTCCCCTCGGCCGGCAGGACCCGCCTGAGGTCACTTCTCCCCCGTCCTCTGGCCAGGACAGCTGTTTCCCCTGATCGGAGGAGGCTTCCTAGTTTGCTAGATTCCACCACCTTCCACTACCTCTTATCCTCATGGGAAGTCCTTCCGAATGTCTACCTCCCCCCACCCCCATCGCCCCGCATGCTGCTGCTGAATCTGTTTAACAACTGGCTCTCCGAAAAGGTGGGATTTTGTAGCATTTGCCCGTGGCCATGCTGCGACTCCTCCCAAAGTGGCCGGCTGGGGGCAGCTGAGGCGATGTCACGGCACTCGGAGTCGGGAAGATGTGGGCAGGGTGGCCTGTCGCGGGCGGGTTGCCGGCTAGCAGCAGAATTGCACCGCCCCCAGGTCGGGCAGTGCTGGACCCTGGGGCCACTTCACTTGTTCTGTCCCCAGAGCCCACACTGGGTCCCATTCCTTTTACATAAAAAGCAACGTGGAGTCCCTCTGAAACGGTAAGCACCCTACACGTATCTCGGCTCCTCCTCTCTCCGAAAGGAGCTCAGTCTGACCCCCAGCGCCCCAGCCCTCATCCTCACCGAGTCAGTGCCCCCTAACCCCCAGTAACAGGAAACCGTACCAGTCTTTGCTTTCAGCCATCAGGCCAACTTGACCCCAATGCAGCACTCACCGATCGATGTCCTCTGCGAGCTGCTGGTATGGCTGCCTGGAAGGCCAGTCCGGCTCCCCGGAAAGTGTGCTGTGATCGACCAGCAATGTCTGCCTCGGCCTTGCCCCTGGACGCAGCACCCAGGCCGCCAGGCTCACCTTCGCCAGAAGGCGCCCCCCTCTCAGCCCCAGACCACGCTCACCTGGGCTGCTCTGGCGAGCCACCTGCCCCCCGCCCCCGACACCCAGGTCCCTGCACCAGCTCCGGGGCCCGCACTGGCCCTCCGTACCCGTGTGCACCCTGTAGTGCGTCTCCAGCTGGTGCTTGAGGCTGAACTTCTTGCCACAACCATTGCACTCGTAGGGTTTCTCGCCCGTGTGGATGCGTTTGTGGCTCTTGAGTGTGCTCTCATCCCGGAAGCAGCTGCCACAGAACTCACACTCGTATGGGTGGTCGCCTGTGGGGACAAGGGGCTGGATCAGGGCCTTGCCTCCCCCCGTCCCCGCTCTAGGAGACAGCAGGGCACGGTCAGGGCGCCAGGAAGAGGAGACTGCCTGTCTTCTCCAAAGACAACGTCAGGCCCCCCCGTGTGAACACAGGAGCGTACTTCAGTGCGGCCCAGGGCTCGTCCACGGGTCCAGAGCCAGTCTCAGGAGGAGAACGCCCGACTGGTTCAGGGATGCAGAGCAGGCCCCAGCAAGCAGGCTCCCACAAGGGGAGAGCAGACTCGTGCACTGTGACACTTGCCCCCCAGCTTCCCGTGCTACCTTCTCTCCCTTTCCCATAGGTCAGGGGCAAAAGCCATTCCAGCCTGACTCCCCTACCCTCAAAAATACCCCTTCAATTTGGGGAACTAGAACACACCATCCCCCAAGTGCCTTCTGCTCTCTCCCCGCTCCACAGCTTCAGCAACTATCCCCTCTGCTTGATTTCCTCTCTCCCCCCGCTCCCCCCCCCCCAGCAAACTCCTAGTCATCCTTCAAGGCCCAGCTCACACATCCGCATGGTTTGGAAGTGTCCTTTTAGCGCCTCCCACCCAGGCACACTCAGTCACTTTGTTCTGTCCCAAAAAAGAAGAAATGCCTAGCACAGTGTTATTGTAGTAGCAGGATAATTTTTATGGTACTTTGTAATCAAAACAGCCCAATCTATTGAGGGCTCGCTACCGTGCTAGGAACCTTACACACATCTTACCATGTAATCACTGCAATAACCTGACGAGAAATGCAGAATTCTCATCATACAGAGAGGAAGAATGAGATGCTTAGATGGTCTCTAAGGTCAAAGAGCCTGTAAGCAGCGGAGTTGGGATTCAGATCTGGTTTCAGAGTCTGGACACGTGATAACTTATCAGATGGCTAAGTGACATGCTGTCATGTTTCTCCTGCCACGCACACCCTGCCTCTAGGATGGAAGCATCTCAAGGGCAAGAAGGGAGTCTTGTTAATCCTTGTTGCCCAGGGACGCAGCACAGGGCCGACCTGGAGCAGACGCTCGGAAAGGGCGGGTAGACGAAGCTCGGGGAGAGCAGCCGCCCCTCGGCCTAGAGGCCGTGCCCGTCAGCCTCCCTTCCAGGCCCCTCGATGGTGAGAGGTTGGGGTGTGCAGATTCACCATCTTCTGCTTTGTACCCAAAGTGGAGGCTTTGGGGGCTGAAAGGTGAGGCCTTCAGCGACTTATTTATTACAGGAGTGAAGGCAGAGACAATAAAGATAGATGGATCACCCCAGACTTTTTTCATGAATATTTAAATATCGCTGATTCGTCTTGTCACTGTAATTACAATTTCTCTGGGCTGCATCTCCAACAACCACAGTTTATGGTAAAGAATGGCCCACTGTATTTCACTTGTCCCTCTGCAGATGTGCGGGCTGCCAACCGTGTAATGTCCTCTGCATTTCATACATTTTCTTCAGCTGCTGAAGGTTTAAGTCATCCACAATGACCTACGTTTTTTCATTATCCCCATGTCAAACTGCACTCGTGCCTGGGCATAAATTGTCCTTCTCGTTATAGACTCGCATGCCTCTGCCTTCACTTCCTCCTTAAAATGATATTTTACTCTCTTGTCTCTCTCCTCCTCAGGCCGCTAACCAAACCTCCCCCCCCCCGCCCCGTCTCAAACGCAGGCCCCTGTCCCCACATAAATTCTCATCTCTTCTGATGGCTCTGAAGGGTTTTTAAGGCTCTGTGGGGAGTGGATGCTGGGGTCTGCTCCCTGGCTACGGGCTCTCTCTCTGCAAGAAGCTCCAGAGGCAGAGAAGGGTGGGTGTGAGCACTTCCGCGAGGAGTCAGACGGTCAGACGGGAGAAGCTGGAAGAGCAGAGCCGGCCCCCCAGTTCTCACCCATCTAGAAGGCACAGCCCTGGCTCAGAGGCACGTGCAGGTCTGGAGACAGGCCGAATCCCGGGGTTCTCAGCCCCTGCGCGCCCCCTCTCTGCCAGGGCTGTGCGGACCGCCTGGTCCCCAGCCACCAGCCCCACCCAGCCCCAGGGGAGCAGAGGTCCGTGCAGACCCTGGTCCTCCTTAGTTGTGTGTCTGTCCGAGTGAGGGTCGGTCCGTGCAGGCCTGCGCCCGCGCGCCACTCCCTCTCTGCGCAGACGTCTGCACATACAACCCCCCGTCTGCCATCCGACACCCCCTCCCCGCCGAATTGGCAACGATAACGACTTTAATCAAGGATTCAGTATCCTCATTAAGATATAAATAAATAAATAAAGCAAGGGCCACGTGAGACTTCCAACGAGAGCCGGTAATTAAAACGTACATCTCGGCAGCCACCCGGCCGGGGGGTGAGCGCGGTGGCGGGGAGTCGCCGTCTGTGCCGCCCCCTCTGGAGGGGGGGGGGCTAAGAGTTTAAAAAACAAAGGGTTAAAGCAGAAAGGTTTGTTTGATCAGAGTTTTATGAATTTAATTATGAAGTGGATCACATGTTAAACGAGTTTAAATAGGAAATCTCCAGAGTCAGCCCAGGAAAAGGAGTAAAAAGAACTTAGAAGAGAAAAAAGACATACGCGCGTGTGCGTGCGTGAGCACACGCACACGCACACACTTTGAAGCATGGTGATCACCTGGCCTAAAATCCTCACCCTGAGAGTTACTGGTGTCCATGCTACCATAATGCACACAAAACTGCAGAACTCAAAATCCAATTTCTGGTACGTTGATTAACTCTGTAGCCTCTTTAATGAGCTTGACATTAAGTACAGGACAAACGAGACTAATTAGAGCCCCTCTGGCCTGCCCAGTGCATCTGTGACCCCAGTGGCCTGGCCTCACCTGGTGGTTTCCGTGGCACCAGCCAGGCCCCACCCCGGCAGCTCCTTGGGCCCCTCCCTGTCAGCCCCTCCCTTTAGCACAGCTGAGAGTTTATTATATGATGAGCCGTGTGAATCAGGGATCCATCAATGCCAAGAGCACGGCTGGACTAACCTACCAAACACAGCTGCCGATGCTAAACACCCGGCCCCAGCAGCAACTGGGCCAAGAACAACGGAATATTAATGAGGCATTGTGTGGGGGGTGTGCTCGGCCTGTAGAGGGCTTGTGTGCACGGGGCCTCACTGGTGTGAAAATCGATGGGTGCGTGCGCGTGCGTGGGCAGCAGTGTGCTCCACGTTCCCGAGATTAAACAAGTACTTCTCCCAAACTCTGTCCGGAGAGAGCCGCTCCCCACAGATCCATGCCATGACTGACACAGGAGCCGGTGATATTTTGGCGTCTGCACTCTTAGAAGGGAGCACGGGCAGAGCAGGGCATATCCTGGGTGGACTCAGCAGGTTGGGATCATTTAAGTCCCACGCAGCCAACTGACTTGACATAGCAGCATGCTCCGAAGTGGCCGAAAGGTGACCGGCCACCATGTTAAGGCTGAACTTGGGGACCCAGTCGGGGGGGGAAGTGTGGACAGGAGAGTGCATAGACCTGCAGGGGATGTGTACACGGTCACTACAGAGAAGCCCTTCTTGTCGGGTCCTACCCTCTGGGACCTCCCCTGTCTCATGCCAGCAAACCTCAATGACTCCATGCAAGTCAGGTGATGCTTAAGGCCATACGTTCCCCTCAAGTGAATGACATCAGAAAGTGCAAGGCCGGGCGCCTGGGTGGCTCAGTCGTTAAGCATCTGCCTTCGGCTCAGGTCATGATCCCAGGGTCCTGGGATCGAGCCCCACATCAGGCTCCCTGCTCTGCGGGAAGTCTGCTCCTCCCTCTCCCACTCCCCCTGCTTGTGTTCCTCTCTCGCTGTGTCTCTCTGTCAAATAAATAAATAAAATCTTTAAAAAAAAAAAAGAAAGTGCAAGGCCAGGCAGGCTCCTGGATGAGGATGCACACTCTTGGCAGGACAGACCCGCTCAGTCCATGATAAGTAAAGCCCCTCCCTCCATCAGCAGAGACTGCCACCCAAGAAAGGCCTGGCCTGCATACTTAATCCCAGAGTTGTGACAAGACCCAAGAATGAGGACAGAGAAGGTCCCACCATTCCTGTCTTGAGGCACAGCTTTTAATACCCTCTCCAAGAGACACGAGCCTACACCCTGTTACAGACCCCGATACGGAGTCTGCCTCTCTATCTCCCTGACCCCACCCTGTCCCCCATTCTCACTCCAGACTCAGGACAGAGCACACATGAGCAGAGACACACACAGACTCAGAAAGGGACACTCCTCTATCCATGTGCTGTCAGCGAAGATCCAATTTTGTCCCAGAGAAAAGGATGAATTTAAGTCACCCATTACTTTGCTAGGGGATCGAGGTTGCTACAAGAAAGCCATCTGCCTCCTGGCCCTCAGGGTCAACCTTCTAGAGGGTGGCAGCCGGGATGAACCAGTACCTGGGCACACGGCCCATCCCCCTTGACTCACGACTACTTTCCTCCTCCATCATCTGGCTCACTGTTTATATGCCCTCATCTTCTCCCCTAATCAAGGTTAATGGCCAAGTACAGAAAATTTGCTTCTGTTATTTTAGAGCAAGCAGGACCACTTCTGCAACATGCCCTTAGGAGCCCAGGGCTGATGTCAGGAGCATGTGTCCATGGGGTGGAGGCCAGGGAGAGGTGATCAAGTGGGTAGGTAGGCTTTTCTCCAAATGCATTTTGGGTCCACCTGCATCAGAATCTTTGGGGAATACTTACTCATCACATCGAGTCTTGGCTCCCTCTCCATATCCACGAAGTCAAAGTTTCTGAGGGTGGAACCCAAGAGCCTGCATTTCTAATGAATACCCTCTCCATTGAGCACAGAGAGACTGAGACCCACAGGTCCCCAAGATAGGAGGGGAAGAAGAACTAACAACATTTACCTGCACAATGGAAGCCCCCCCATGCCCACCTTGAGCAAAGAAGGGCTGAGGGCCGACTCAGCCGGACACCTCCCCTTTATGTCTTTGGAGGCAGATGCAGACACGGGTTCCCAGGGACTCTGAGCCAGCCATCCCCTGGACGGGCTTACCGGTGTGTGAGCGCAGGTGGCGTTTGAGGGCGGTGTGGCTGGGGAAGGTGCGGTTGCACTCGCTGCAGATGTAGCTGCGCACGCCCGCGTGGACCTCCATGTGCTGCTGGAGCGCACTCTGCGCCTGGAATCGCTTCCCGCACAGCAGACAGAAGACGGCCATGTCCGTGCCTGTGGGGAACAGGAGAGCTCAGGAGCGGGGAGCACACAGCCTCTCCTGACTCATCCGGGCCAGAGCCAGAGCCAGGGCTAGGCCTCTACTCCCCCAGGCTCGGGGGCGAACCCAGAGGCGGCCCAGGCCATGCAGTGGTGAGGGGGCACCTAGCGTGTGGCTCTAATCGTGGACAAAATCGACTTACTGCTCACCCTTATGGCACCTAAAATCTAGCAGGAGAAGAGACAACCAATCCGTCACAACAACAAACGTGAGTCAGTAGCTGTGTGGGGGGCTGTGTCGAAGGCAGGGTATTAAGATGGCATGTGTCGGGGCGCCTGGGTGGCTCACAGTCGTTAAGCGTCTGCCTTCGGCTCAGGTCGTGATCCCAGGGTCCTGGGATCGAGCCCCACATCAGGCTCCCTGCTCAGCGGGAGGCCTGCTTCTCCCTCTCCTACTCCCCCTGCTTGTGTTCCCTCTCTCGCTGTGTCTCTCTCTGTCAAAGAAATAAATAAAATCTTTAAAAAAAAAAAAAAAGATGGCATGTGTCAGGGGGACTTTTGGGAGTCTGGGGCAGGAGGTGGGAAGTCGGGGTGGCCTCTGTGGGGGATCACAATCACGAAGACAGCACGTGCCAGCCCATGGTCAAATGGAGCTAACTGAAAGTCCCGTCTCCAGAAGGCAGGCTCCACCACCTCCCCTCTCAGATGAGGCAAATGAGGACACCGCGATTGTGCAACTTGTCCCAAGTTCCATGGAGCTCAGAAACTGCAGAGATGCAGTCCCAACCCAGGCTGCCTGGGTCTGAATCCTCTCCAGAGCCTAGCTACAGACCCTCTTCTTTTAACCAGTTCTCCCTTCACCAAAGCACCCATCTTAAGAGTCTCTTAATTCAACAAATATTATTCTAGTACCTTCTCTAAGGAGGACTCCCTTTTGGGCACTGGGGAATCCAACCATGGAAAACTCTACAAAGTCTCTGCTGTCATCATAGATGTCACCCAGCACAAGGGACCACTGGGGGAGAGCATCCATGAACACTCTAGCCTGGAAAGAAATGCAGTTATCAGAGGATAAGACAGAAGAACAGCATCGCTAGGGAGGTGGGGAGACAGTGGAGGGAAGGTCAAAGAAGTAGGCAGGACCAGGTCACATGCGGGTCTTGAAAACCATGTGAAGACATTCAGGCTGCATCTCAAGACCAGTGGGCAACTGTCAAAGGATTTGAAGCTAGTGAGTGGCATGAGATTGTCATTTCATTCTGTCTGGCCATTCTCTGCAGTGAGCAGAAGCTTAGATAGGTACCCCATGGTATCCTACAAAGAAAGATCCTGCTCTGGAGCCATTAACCTCTCTGGGTACACATGAGGAAGCATGGAGACCCACCATCTGGGTCCTCACTGGTGGCTCATTGCCCACCCTTTTGGATCCTACTTCCCTAAGCATGTCAGCTCCCCTGGGAAGCTCGTCTGCTCCCTCTTGCTGGCATCTGACCAGTATCACCGGTGTTCAGCCCTGCACCGCCTGGCCCTGTGTAAAGGACACAAGTGGGAATGGTGGACAGGCCTAGCATCTGTCAACACAGCCCAGAGGGGAGCAAGGGCAGAGCCCTGGCTGCTCAGTGCTGGGTCAAGGAGCTCTGCGTAGAAAGTGGGGTGGAGAGGGACAGCATGAAGACCTTGCTGCCACCCTGGTCCATCCCTGGAGAGAGCAAAGGGGTGGTCTGTTCTCGCTGCCCCAGTCCCATTCGTGGCTGGGTTTAGGATGAACTAGCGGGAAGGCCAGACCCTTCTATCCGCCCCCTCCACCCCCCACGGCCATCCGTGCAGCTGCCGCCTGCATCCAGGTCCAGGGAAGGCTGAACACAAAGCAAGAGCCCTGTTTTGCTCCTGGCCTCAACAAACACAAGGGAAAGGAACTGATACACGTGCTTTATCTATGCTGCCATCTCAATTAACACGTGCATCCAACCCCACAAGGCAGGCATTCTCATCCCCCTTCCCACAAATGGGAAAACAGAGCGATTAACCAACTTGCCTAAGGTCACACAGTCAGAAGAGGTAGAGCTGAGATTTGAACAAATGTCGAGGTCTGATTTCAGGCACCACAGGGTTGGGACCAGGTCTGCTTCGGGGCATGCCTCTTGTCTGTCTGGGCTTCTGGAAGAGGCACGATAGGGCCAGCCCGACGGCTCTCACCCCGCTTGGGTGTGACCGGGCCTCACTCCAGCGACGGTTAGAAAACCCAGGCCAGGGGGAGCGGGCTGGAAGCAGAGTCACAAGGTACAGCTCTCTGAAGCCTTCCCACGTCCCGGGGCAAGAACTCGGGGAGGTAATGGGGTGCCTGGCTGCACCTGGCTGAGGGGAGTGGCCTGCCAGGCGGACGCAGCCCAAGGGCTGACAGTGAGCGCTCAGTGCCCACCCTGGCCAGCTCAACACGCCCAGGTGTGCAGTCCATCTGCAGCGAGATCTGTGACACGGCTGCCCTGGCCGTTTCATCCCGAGGGCCCCCAGCATGGGCCCCAAGTAAGCCAGATGTCAAACAGCTGCCTTGAATTGGTAAGCTGGAGCAGGCCTCGCGGGCAAGCTGTGCCCTTTGGCAGCACGGATTTCTCCTTAGACATCCCCCTGACGTCCCCAGGGTAGATGGCACCTGGGTCAGAGGGAGCGTGACATCCCCAGTAGGGACACTCCAAGCCTACAACGCCAGGCCCAGAGGAGTTCTGAGGGCTGGTACCCCCCGGCAGGACAGTCTGAGGACACCACAGCACTCAGCCCCCCAGGTCTTTCCAAGGTTCCTCAAAGCCACCCCCCGCCCAGGCCACCCATACCTCTCAGGATAGCCTGAACCCACTTCGTGTCCATCCAGCACACTCAATGTGCAGTGACCAAGTGTAGGCACTGTGAGGTGACAAAGGGGATGCTGAGACCAACCAGAGAACTGGGGTCCCAGACGAGCAAGGGATACAGACAGGGTGACTCCGTGAGGACTGTGGCATTGAGAAATGAAGACTACTGAGAAGCCAAGGACCGGGAGAAGGGCTACAGGGGCCAAGCTAAGGAAACACCGCAAGCAACCTCCAGAGCAGGCAGGGACACACGACAGCCCCAGAGGGTGGAGATGAGCGGGGAAGGTCAGTGGGGCCAGTGTGGTGCCTGGAATGGCTGGGGGGGGGGGGGTGTGCCAGCAGGAACCAGCCTATATATAAGGGCAATGCCCCCGGGGGAGGAGAGTGGAAAAATGAGGTCCAGGGAAGATGGCGCGACAGGACCTGACACGGGGGCTCAGTTGGGAAGCATGGTGCCCCCGGATGGCCAGCTCTGCACCCTGATGGCCGGTTTCAGGTGACATCACCCTCACTTGGGAAGGAAATTCTACCATGTCCGTGCAAGGGTCCCTCCCCCCCCCCCCTTCCTGGGACATCTCACAAGGCTCAGGGGCCCTCCTTGGCCACTGAGGACACCAGCCGAGGTACAGAGATAAGAAGGGACCTCTGAGGCCCCGTATCCATTCTCCCCTCTCTTCTGTTTGGAGACCAACAGCTGAGAAGATGGAGAAATATTTAAAAAGGAAGAGGCTGGGGAGGGGGGAATGGGAGAGACACGAGAAAAGCTACTGGTGCATGCCAGCTAAAAATCTAGAGACTAGATTTGAGTTATTAAACAATTTGCTGTAGTTTCTGCCTAGCTGATTGTTCGCATGTATGATGAGTCAGGGCAGATTCTATTACACTGGGAGATTAAGCAAATAAATGCTAGCTTTTGGAAACACATTAAAATGTGGGACTATGGAAATAAAATTATCTAGAAAATTGTATTAGCAATTCATTAGCTACCGGGAGATGTGCGGCCAGGCAAGAGGCTGGGCAGGGTTACACCCTTCTGTTCCTCACACCGCCTGAACCCCAGAGATGCTTGGTGCTCCTTCCTCTGCCACAGAGAGACCTCATGCCTGATACCACTGGGGAGGCAGGAGGAGCCTCCCCTGGTTGCAGAAAACCGTCAGAAATCATCTGGTCAGCGTGGCCCAAGGGAAACAAAAGAAGCACAGGGGTCTTGGTTCTGCCGCTTACTTGCCTTGTGATTCTGAGCAAGTCACTGAACTTCTCTGGACCAGGGTTTGCTCATCCTTTGCCACACTGTTGTTGCTAAGAGCATAATATGAGATACCCACGCGCAAAGGCTTTGTAACTACAAAGTGACAGCAGAGCCCCTGCCAGCCCAGACGCCGCCTTTGTCTGAATTAGAAAATCATGCCTCTGACTGTGGGCAGACACAGATAGTTGCCCAGGCGCACAGCTCTGGCGAGCAAAGAGGGCTGGATCCCAGCCTCAGTGCCCCTCTCCCCTCTTAGCCGGGCATCCCCCTGCAGCAACGGACGGCCCGGATGGGAATCACGGCTGCCCTGCGCAGGAGACGAGCTGAAGTTGCTTTATTGACTCTGGGCCACTGCTTCCAGGAAGTTGACTCTAGAGGAGGCATCTTGGATGAGTTACACCATTTAGGACTCAATGCCAAGAACATCTTCTTCCTCTAAGCCCTCACGACTACAGCATATAAAACCCTCTGATGCATTTATTTTTGACATTCAGCTCTGCCTACTAGACTGTAAGCCCTCCAAAGCAGGAACTGTTCCCTTAATCTTTATACTCCCCCACCCTAACCACGGGGCCTGGCATAGCATATGCACTCAGTAACTAACTGTATGGTGCATAAGAGGCTAAGGAAGGAGCTGTGGGACAATCACAAGGGGCAGACAAGGGACCGGAGGTGGAGGCAGTCCTAGTAGAGAGAGCCAGACAGCCAGAGCTAGAGAAAAGCTCAGACCAAATGAAGTCATTACTGAGCACTTCCAGCAAGACTCTCTTTGGAAATCAGTAACACCAAGTGACCCACAGGCATCTGATCTTGTTGGGGCCTCTCGTGTCTGTCTGGTAGGCTAGACATGACTCCCGAGTTCTTACTCCGCGTCTGAACTCTGTGGGTCAGCAGCGAAGACTGAAACCACAGAAGGACCA